CATAATTTAATACTCAAGTTGATTTTTTAAAAGTTTTGTTGGCTAAGAACAGCCACTCTGATGTCAGTGATGAAATGTCCAGGGAGGCTGAAGTGTTTTGTCATAGGCTTTTGTGATTTATATAAATTATATATATTTTATATGCATGTTTATACATTACATTAAAGGCATAATCATTAGGGGTGTGCAAAGTGGGCCCTATTCAGTTTGGATTCGGCCTGAATCAGGGACAGTGATTTGATTCATTCATTCGGATCACTGTCTCCAATTCGATTCAGCTGAATCCCAATCTGAAGATTCAATGCCGATTTGGACAATCAGCAATTTGGACATAGACACAGCTTTAAATATTTTTTCTACATACCGTGAGGTACCAGCACAGCTTGTGATCGATGCTGTGGCGCATGGAGCGTCCCTCAGGAGCGGGGGGGGGCGGCCCTCCATGTGCTCAGCAGTGAATCTGGAAGTAGACTGGAAGTACTTTAGGTCCACTTCCAGGTGTACCAGGGAGCACGCTGGGCCCCACCCCCCCGCACCTCCCCAGGTCGGCAATTAGCTGCAGGGAGACTCTGGGTGCCTCCCCCGACCCAGGAGGTACAAGTTGCCAAGCCAGGAGGGAGGGGGGCCCCCCCAAGCACACTCCTTGTCAGACCCAGAAGTGGACTGGAAGTGCTTCTGGTCCACTTCTAGGTCTGTTGCCGAATGCGCTGGGGAGCCCATTGTGCTTCTGTGGGATGCTCCATGCACCCCAGCATGATAGCATTCATGAGCCCTTGCTACCTAGAGGTATGTAGAAAAAACATTTAAAGCTGTCTCTATGTCTGAATCTCTGAATTTCTCCGAATTGATTTGGAGGGTTCCCATTTGATTCGGAGAGATTTAAGGGTCCTTTGATTCGATTCGGAGATTCGGCCATCAAATCTGGCCGAATCTCCACTGAATTGAATCAGGGACTGAAGCTTCGCACAGCTCTAATAATCATTGGGTTCTGTTAGAGACCCCAACCCAGTGCCTCCATTTTTTTAAAAGGTTTTAGCCTGTCTGTTTACTGGTATCTATTTTTAATCTGGTTGTGCTATGCAAGACAGAATTTTTCTTTCCAAGCAAATTTTAATTTTTTTTGATGACCCAAGGAATTTTCCTTACGCTTGTTTTAGAACAACAAATTATAAATGTTATTAGTCTCGTCTCTGTTACAAAGGTATTTTTAAATCCCTGTTAAATTCAAGTGTGTGTGCATACATGTGTGCATGTGCATTTCCTAACTTACATCAGTTGTGCCCTTTAAAATGTACTGTGTTGTGCATCTTCAGATACCAATGCTTGAAAGACAGTGCAAGTTTTACTGAGAGGAGGAAGATGAAATAAATGAAAAGTCTGTGCTCTGAGCATTATGTTGCTCAATTCTTCCACCTTGTGGCCTCTTCATCTAATTATAAACTGAGGGTTTGCCTTCTCCATTTGTTGGAATGTAACATGGGTTATCAGCAGGGATCCTGGCTTTCTCTATTTAAAAAACTCAAATTCTCTGATAAAACCCCCAAATTCTCTGATTTAAAAAGCCAAAATCCTCATTTTCCCATGATATATATATCTTATGGGAAACTGCCAGCCTGCGAACGGAAACCCACTGTTTCGGGGGTGGGGGGGTTCCTTTAAAGGACAAGAGCCGTGTTTTTCTCCTTTAGAAGGAGAAGAGCCACATTTTCCCATGGCAAATGGAAAACTCAGATCCCTGGTTATCACACTAGGTATGTATTACCTGAGAACTAAGCAGACAGAACATGATTGATATTTAAATGTTTTGTGGATATTCCTTAATACTTGACAAACTCCATTTAAGCAAACCACTTAAGCAAAGGGATAAATCCAGTCTTAATCATCAAGACACAGGGGAAGTCTCTGGGTCTTAAGCCTGTATGCATGCAATTTGATGAAAAGAATTTGACTTAAGCCTATGTTGACTACTCTACTGAATTGGAGCCTAAAAAAAAAAGGGTCTCAAGTGAAGTGATATTGGACATGAAGTCCATTCATCCAACTTCTTAAATGTAGTGTTGTGTAGGGGTGGAGAATTGGGTACATTAATAGTTATTAAAATAATGCAAGAAACTATCTTGTATCATTGAAGCAGCCTAGAGGGTAGATATATGTGACCAGAAGGAAGAAAATGAGACACACCTTCAGGGTCCAAGAGACAGATACTGTCCTATGATCAAATCTTGCTCCCAATGAGACAAACTTTCTATTGGGCACATCTACATGCAACACTTTACTGTGCAGTAGACTAATTTACTCTGCAGTAAAGCATCACAGTCTACACATGCGGGGCATTTACTGCACAGTAAATTAGGCTATTGTGCAGTTATCTGGTACCTGTAAATACTGCACTTGTAGATGCTGACCAGGAGCAAATTTGCTTCTGGTCAGCCTAGGCAGCAGAGAGCCACAGGGGATAGGGAGCTCTCTGTCCCTGGTCCTGGCATTGGTTAGTTTCTGGCTCCCCACAGGACCTGGGAGCCAATTAGTGCTGGGACTGGGGAATTCAGCCCTCCCCTATCCTGGCAACCAGCCAGACCTGGACACAGGCACAGGCACAGGCAAACTGGGCAGCCGCCTGGGGCCCAGACAGAAAGGGGGCCTGAAAATGGGAATTTTTTCCTGTTGTCTGATTATTATTAGGATTATCTCTGGTGAAGGGGTAAAAGTTTGCCCAGGGCCACCAGGAGTCTAGGTTTGGTACTGGTCCCAGCTCTGCACTGCACGGAGCTGGGAACTCCAGCCCCCGCATGCTCTCTAGAGTTCCCAACTCCACAGTGCACATTGCTGCTCCAGGGGGCAGGCAGGGGCTCATAACTCAAGCAGGGAAGCTGCTGGCAAGGCTTGTGCACTCCCATTTGGGAGATGGCTGGGAACTGTCCTGCAAGTGGGGCAGCTGTCAGCCATCCCCCTGCTGAGTGGGGTGGGGTGGGACATGGGATTTGATGGCAGCTGCCCCACTTGTGGGACAGAGTTCCCAGCCAGCCCCCTGCTGAGCTGTGGGGCCTGCCCAGCCAGAGGCTCACAGGCAGCTGCCCCACATGCAGGACAGCTCCCAGAGAACCTCCTGCTGGTAAGGAAGCCCTGCCTGGCAGGGGACTTGCTGGCAGCTGTGTCCCCCAGTAGGCACAAGGCCAGGAGAGACCTGCTGGATGCAGCAGCAGCTGTCTCCCAGCCCTGTGCACATCAGACTCGTCCCAATGTCCACGGGGCCAGGAAAAAGCTGCCACTGTAGCCAGCAGAGCTCTCCTGGCCCCATGCACATCAAGACTGGCCCCCTTGCCAGCCCCTGGGCTAGCACCTGGGGGAGCCTGAAGCTCCCCTTGGCTGCTGCAGTGGGGGCAGAGCAGGGCAGGAGCAGCCCTGTACTGGGCTGCTCCCATTGGGAGCAAATCTGCTCCTAACAGGGTACACATGTAGAAGTGCTCTCAGGGAAGGTTTACTGCACAGTAAGCCTACTGCGAATTAATAGCCTATGTAGATCTGCCCTATGAGTCTCTACCCATTTTATATTACTACTATTAGGCATACATGTTGAAGGTCCTGGTGACCTCTCATGCACCAGGATCACCAGGATCCAGAAGGATTGACGTTTGCCTATTATTTCTACTGCTATTAAATGCAAAGTACAGTAAGACAACTTCAAGAGACCTGGAGAGGGGTCTTACTGTGGCAACATTTAAATGATTAATTTCCTCAAAGTTCACAATTCCATATGTAAAACAGATTTGATTTTTCAGGTAATGCTGAGTTCACCTCAAAACGTACATAAAATAGATTCAGATAAATCAACTAGTATACACCTGGCTAGGAATATAGGGTTTCAAAGATTGGACCCATTCCTTTTTAGTCAAAGAAGAGAGCTGGTCATTCAAGAAACATGGAATTAGTAAAACCAAAGGACCGTTCCATTATGGTTCTGTGGGAGGCATTTAAGTAATATGTTAGAGGAGTACCCATTACATATGTAGAAGAGCAGTGTATCTTGGAGGGGGGAAAAAGATAAATCTCTTAATTTCTAAGAACTAAAAGGTTAGGCTAATTAACTTGACTATTATGTCAAAATGAGACCCAGTAACAACTTGGAAGCAAAACTAGCCATTTCTTGTAGAAAATGTGCCGTTTCTCTAATTTTTTGACAGTTATACCTGGAATTATAGTAGAAGAAAATTAAAATGTGCCTTTATAGGCAATCCATTTTTTAAATTCTGTAAACATCATGTTCATTACAGACCGATAAGGCCAGATTTTCAACTAGTGGAAAGTGACATCATTCTGTTTAAATTCCTGAAGGCATTTTCTCCCTTTGAGCAGCAAAAAGCATGTGCGTCTTGTAACTTCATCTGTTCGCTTTAGTCACCAGTCTGCTTGCACTAGCTATCAGAAATTTCAACAAAAGAATAAATGGTTTAAATGCATAGAACTGCTCTTTCCAGAGATGACCTCAGCTTTGTTTCAGGGAAACATGCAATTTCCATTCAGTGTCTCTAAAAAATTTCAGAACACTATGGCCATGAATCAGCAACATTTCAGAACATACTTAGACTCAGAAAGTATTGTTTGTACCAAAACAAAACAAGCACAGTAATCATTGGATGCTTGAAAATTAAAATTCATTAAAACTGTTCCCCCATTGTACACATCTTCCCAAAAACAAGTATATAACATACTGAATTGCAGATGTTGACCAAATTAGGATCATTCCCTTGTTTTAGTGCTGTTAGTGTAATCAATGCTGATGTATTACTTAAGGCTGTTTTGTTTATCAGGTCATGTAACCCTTTGTATTGCTCATCTGCCCCTCTGTTCCTGTTAACACATACCCCAGAAACTTGAATTGACTTCTGTTAACCCGCCCCTTAAATGATACGGTATACTCCTGTCTTGGTGGCCAACAAACCTATCATTCTGCAATGAATTTTAATCAGACAGATTTTATGTTTTTTTTGTAATTAGGAAAATGCTCAGACAGTCAGAGAGGTGGAGGTAGATAAAGTAACAATGTTGGAAAGAAAGCAAGTGGAAGCAATCAAGAAGCTCTGGGAAGACCCAGGAATCCAAGAGTGCTATGACAGACGGAGAGAATACCAGCTCTCTGATTCTGCTAAATAGTAAGTACCTTGTCTTAGCACACCATCAGTGCAAAGTTCTCTCAGAGCACGGTGGCCTCATTATGATCTTGTATTTACCCCTAGACATCTCTTGGCATGGAAATCTCACTCAACTTCCACATTCTGAGATTAAGTTAAATAAATCTTTGAAGGAGGTTTTTTCTTTTCTTTTTATTTAAGCTTTTAAATTTCTCTCTCTGTCTGCACACTGAAATCATTAGCTGGCTATCTCCCCCCCACCAGTGCTGAGGTCAATATAGCTGGCATGTAGCTAACTTTGTCTTTGGGGAGAGTTTGAAAACAGCTGCACCAGTCTTCATAGACAAGATTCAGCTTCTAAATTCCATAAAGTAGTTGTAAAATATGTAAATCTTGGTGTACAAATTAGTCACCTCTGAAAATTCTCTAACTAATTTTGAAACCCATTTTCTTTTGTCCAGCAAGGCACAAACTAGTTCTGAGGTCACAGAACTAATCTGACACTGCTCCTCAGGGGAGAGATACAATATCTTCACTTTCACAGTTTGTGCTAAACAGGTCTTCTAGAAGATGAACTGGTTAATATTTTGTAAGCAGGAAGTTCTGTATATTCTGGTGACCTCTTTTAGTTAAGACTTCTTTCAGTGGGATGGTGGGGGGAGGGTAAATTTAGTATGTTGCATATATTAGGTATGAGGCATTGTTTCTGCAAGGGATGTTTTCTGTTTCAAGCAAGAATAGTTGGAAATGTCTTGCTTTCTGTATTTCACACCAGGATTCTGGCTGGTCTGCTGTTTCCGTCTAGCGGTGAGAAGAGAGAATGCAGGCATCACTAATCCTTTGCATCGGTGGTCTCTTGTGATTTCCTCCTGTAATATTTATCTAAGCAAAAGAATGTGGTTCTCGGACATAAATCATGTGACATGAAAATTTAAATTGGATCTTTAGCATAAACACATTAAGAAAGGAAAAAGAAAATATTTACTTATTTCCTTTATCTATTAATATAAATTTAATTCTGTCATAATTAATGGGAAACAGCCAGTAGTTCACCTTAACATCAGAAAAATAAGAACATTTCTATCTACCATATAATGGAAAATGCAACATATTTGCAGATGCAGCCTTTTTAAACATGTTTGTGTAAATCAAAAATACAGAGAATGAGGAAGCAGAGAGGTGGGGGGTGCTACATGTTCAAGCTTGGTATGTACTCACATACCGTAAGAATATGTTACCTAAATAGGTGGAATTTTATTTTTTTCTTTTGTCTCCAGAAAAGCTTGTTGGTGACAAATGTGTTATGTATAATGAAGATGTTGCATAAACAAAAACAAACTTAACTGTTATTCTTTATCGTTGTGTTTTGAGTGCCTGTTAATTGTCTGAAAAATGAGATTAGTGATCATATTCAACTGAAGCAATATGTTGCGGCAGTCCCATTGCAATAAGTTCATTTAGATATGAGGAAATGGATCGTGAGAGTCACGTTAAAACATCCATGGAAATTTCAGTTTTAAAACCTCGTGGGAAAGTTGGTAACATAAGAAATACTGGTAATGATGAATATATTTGTACATACTAAGCTTTTTTTGCAGATATTTAGAACCTGTACCAATTCCTTCTTCTGTATACGTTCTATGATTTGTTTTTCAAGAGGCATTTTATGTAAATTGTTAGGGTTATTCCTCAGATTATTGGAGTTAAACATGCAATCTGATTAAGCAGAAGTTCAGGTGTGGCTGCATACTTACTCTGATTGTTGTATGTGCATCTAACTTTGCAGTTACCTCACCGACATTGATCGTATTGCTATGCCATCATTTGTGCCAACTCAGCAAGATGTTCTTCGTGTCAGAGTGCCAACCACTGGAATTATTGAGTACCCTTTTGATTTAGAAAACATCATTTTTAGGTAACATTGCCTGCACTGTATTTTCTCTTGTATTGTCACATAGCTTTCTGCTGAGATTCCTGATATAAGAGATTATTGACCTTTGTATTCAGAACAGGATTAGTTTAAGTTTCTGGCACTTCAATAATTGAATTTAGTTTCCAGATATAACTTTGCAGAGGATAATTGATTTTTTTTGGAAGCCACTTTCTAATTTTTCTAGAGAAAGCTTTTAGAAACCACTCCCTTTTGAGAGAGTTGATTTTTTTTCTAAATTGCCTCATTATACCCTAACACAGGGTTCAGTAACCTATAGCCCATTGGCTAGATCCAGCTTGTGAAGCTTTGATTGAGGGAGGGAGGGCAATGATTTAAAGGAGCCATGTAAAAGCAATGACTTAAAGCCTTGGCAACATTGTGGGCATTGCGTGGTGAGGGTTAAAAAAAACAGCAAAATAAAGTATTAGCATATACACAAAACATAATACCTTTATCTAAATAATAAAAATATTATTTTTGCTAGAGCTCACAAAGCAATATAATAGGCAAAAAAGCATTGAAAGCATTCCTTCATACCTGCTGGGTGAAGGAAGATTGAAAGAATGGGGACTGATTAAATTAAAGCTCAGAAAACAAGACACCAATGACCGAAGTATACAATGTAATAAAATTGTGTAGAATAGATAATCATTCAGGCACTTCTGTTTGTCTTCTCATTCAGGAGTGAGTGTAGGAACAAGACAAAATTCAGTGGAATCAAAAGGTAATAGCTTAAAACTAGTAAAAGCATACATATATACAGTGAATAATTACACGGGATCTCATTGCCACAGTATACAATTGAGACCAAAAGTTTATTAGGTTTCAAAGATACTTTGTAAAATAGGATCATGCATAGTTAGACAGAAAAATAAATTGTAAGACTTTAGGAATTAGTGCACTTTTCTGTGAGCTAACCTGGTGCTAGCCAATGTTAGAAATACAACATGCGACTAGATGGGATTGCGGATATAAAACTAAGTGACAGTTCTTGAAGTACCTATGTAGAATTCACCCCAACATCAACACGTGCCTTTCTACTAATTGTTGGCACTGGATTTATGATCCAGTCCTGATGACTCTTCATTTTTGAGTACCATTGATTGGTTTCCCAGTGGTTATCATATTGTCCACATTTTCTCCTGTCAGCATATCCCTTTGTTTCTCAAACATATCAGATGCATGCATCTTAATTTGGTCATTTACTGGTACCTTAATTTGGGCATCCCTGGCCTCCTAATTTGGTCAGTCCAAAACCAGAAATCCCAAGGGCTATGCAGCTGGTCATTGCGACCTGATGCTAATAATGCAGGTTCCTTATTTTTGTTGTGGAACACTGTTTGTATGTCTTCAATTTCCCAGGATGTATGCGCCTGTCTGCTAGGTTTGCACACAGCAGGTGCATCTACATGAGACACTAACTGCACAGAAGTGTGCCAGGCAAAAAGCATGCTAATATGCTAGTGTGTAGTAGTATTAGGCTACTGTGCAGTGTTATTAAGCTACTGTGTGGTAAGTGTCACTAAAAACCCATGTGCTGGTACTACTGCACAGTAGTGTGAGTTACTATCTATTAATTTAGTACTTGGTTAACCAAGTACTAAACTTAAGGCATGGTATCTGTGGCACATTAATGAACGTGTAAACGTGCCCACTGTCTGCTAACAGGCTGAGAATGTGAAACTTTGTTACAAACAGACTTTTAGAAACCAAATAACTGCTGCAATTCCCCTGGACCATTGTTCTAATGCAATATTTACTTTACCTACAAGCCAATTCCTAAAAAATGTTTAAGTATCATTTCCTAGCCATCACCAATAGCCCCTCAAACATACACTGACTCAACTCCACAAGAAACTCCTTGTCATTTCTAACAAGAGAATCAAGCACGCTGAACATGAAATTCATGACAAATTTAAAACACTACCAGTTGTAGTTTTTCATATACAGCCAAAGTTCAAGACTTTCACCAAATATATGTCCATAACAAAAATATATTATTCTAGCTGAAGTGAAAGGGTGTGTGTGTGTGTACACACAATATGCCTGAGGGTTCTCTATCAGAACTGAAAGTGAGTTTGATGCTGAGCTGACGAGTAAGTGAGCCAGTTCAGTTTTTATGTTATTTGTGGTTGGTAGTATGGGTTTAACTGGCAGTTTCCTTGATTTGAAGTGATTGTTTAGAGATGAAATGCACTTGAGTAGCTGAGTATTACCTCAATAATAGAATTAGATAGATATGGAAAGTGAATATATATTTCAGTTGTGCTGTTGCTTTGATATGGAAGAAACCTGCACAATCCTATATTTGGACAGACCTTTGGAACTTGGGCATATCAGGGTGGCCATGCTGAACTATAGTGCAATTTGTAGTCCTTCCATAGGTAAATTAATTTAATGCATCTTTCACAGAATGAAGTAATTTGTGAATAGCTCATTTGCATTCTGAGAGGCTCCCCCTTAAAGGGTCCCCTGTGCACATAACACAGACATATTTAATAATGGCATTGAAACAACCCTTGTGCTGGTTTTCTGTTTAACAGGATGGTAGATGTCGGTGGCCAGAGGTCTGAAAGGAGAAAGTGGATTCACTGCTTTGAAAGTGTTACTTCCATCATTTTCTTAGTTGCATTAAGTGAATATGACCAGGTCTTGGCTGAATGCGATAATGAGGTAAGGAATGAGGGTAACTAGCAGAAGGACCAAAAAAAAAATCTTGTTTTTTCTTTAAAAATAAAATGTTTATAAATGCACACCCTATGATTAGTTTACCCCAAGGAACAGGTAATACAGAACTGTTAATTGAAAGGTTAATTTAAACAATAATGGCAGCCCAAAAGAAAAATAAGTTAGGTCTCTTTATGCTGCCTGCAGCTATCAACTGCAAACTCCTTAAAACCCCAGCTCTTTAAGGGCTTGCTGAGCACCCTCTAACTTCTACAGGAACGTATATGAGGACCATCATTGAAATGAGACAGTATTTTCCCATATGCATACTCCATAACCTGCCTTCTACCTGCATTCTTGGGGTCTATGATTGAGAGGAAACTGAGGCGCAATAGGTATACGCACTTTTAAGTCCTTAGCATGTAGAGTGACAGGATATAAAACTTCACCATTGGGTTCAGAAACCAAAAGTTCCTGAGCTTGGGCACATGAGGGTACATGCACCCATAGGGGAAAGTGCCTGTGGATAACAGACCACAAAGAATTACAGTAACTGAAAGGTAGATGACGTCTTTTTCCTTCCATCAGTTCTAGATTTCTGCTTTTTAACATTATTGAATATCCCTTTTGATCTTGTGTAATGAAAGAAGGTAGGGAGAAGAGTAACTGCTATTTAGTGCACTTCTATCACATACTCCCTATTCACCATCTTCTCTCAGCTTTTGTATATTTTTTCTGTGCTTGTAAGAGTAAAAACCATTACCTTTTGACTTCACTATAATATTTTCAGGGTTTCCTATCTCATCCCTGATGCATTCTGCCATGTTTTGCTTTCTTGACCACCAGAAAATATTAAACAATCCTCTGTAGAACTGTCCACAATCAAGTGCTTGAATGCTCAAGTGACTTCTTCTAATATGTACTACCTTGAATTTTATTCTGCATGTAGTTATGCTGCCCATTGCACTTATTTTCCAGCAGGCCTTATTCAAAGTCCACTGAGAACATAAGCATAAAATACTGAGAAAAGCAGTTTATGTTTTTTGCTATAATTTTGCTGAATGGAAACAACCTGGAAAGAAAACACTGAAAACACTGATTTTAAGAGAACTCCATTGGAGGCTGATGGTTGAGGTGTGAGTGTTTTGACTCTGAAACAGAATCATTTCAAGAGTATTACCACATATATGTTAATATCCAAATTCTGCTTGTAGAATCGAATGGAAGAAAGCAAGGCCTTATTTAAAACTATCATCACATATCCCTGGTTTCTGAACTCTTCAGTCATTTTGTTCTTAAACAAAAAAGATCTTTTAGAAGAGAAAATCATGTACTCCCATCTAATCAGCTATTTCCCAGAATACACAGGTAAGCATTTATTCCAGACTATATAAAGTTAGCATTGTCATCAGCAATTAACAAACTGATTTGGAACTAAGGGTGGAATTCTGTTTTCCAGTTATCTACCTGGCCATTTTTGGCCCTTATTTTATGCAGGGGTTACACACTGCACACACAGACTGAGAATGCATAGTAGGGTTGCACACTGGTCCGGCATGTACATGGATACGTATGGGTGTATTTGAGCTTATGTCCTGAAAAAACGGTGCCTGTGTAATTAAGCTACTTGCCTTGTAAGCAGATGTGGGTTCTAGGCCAGAGCACTTGCACAGGAATTTTGATATCTGGGTTTGAGGCCTCTCTCATAGAGACTGTAAGGCTGGAAGGGACCTTGGAAGATCATCAGGTCCCTGTCTTGTGTAGATATGCCCAGTGTGTGTTACTAGAGTCCACTGCATTATAGAAGCAGTTTGTGGTGCCCCATAGGAGTCCATGAAGCTGCAGCAGTCTTCCTGCACACTGTAAATTGTAAGATTGACACCTGGGTCTTGCAGCCAGTGCTGGAATGAAAGTACCAGAACACAAGAGACCCACTTTCATTTAGTCTGATCTGTGATCATAATAAACTTTATGTTCCTACTTTTAGAGCTGTATAGGCTTAGCTGTGGCATATCAGCACTATATATAGTGCTAGTCTAGCAACAAATATTATACCTTTTGAATGCTAAGGGGAAAAGTGTGTATTGTTTAGAGAGGATTGTAGGAGAAACAGGGACAGAGGATTTTATATATCCTAAAAGTACCCACCATTTTTCTATTTGGAAGGAGGTATCGGGTGAGGTTCCCCAGAGTTCTGTCTTGGGTCCAATACTGTTTAATATCTTCATTAATGATTTAGGTGATAGGATCTAGTGCATACTTAGGAAATTTGTGGGTGATGCTAAGCTGGGTGGAGCTGCATGTAGTCTGGAGAGTAGGGCTAGGATCCAGAATGACTTGGATGGACTTGAGAAATAGTCCATTATCAATCAGATGAGATTCAGCAAGGACAAGTGCAAGTCCTGCATATGGGACGGAATAATTGCATGCACAAATACAGACTGGGGAATAAATGGCTAGGCTGCAGTACTACAGAGAAGGACCTGGGGGTTACAGTAGACTATATATTGAGTATGAGCAAACAGCGTGCTTTTGGGGGAAAGAAAAGGCCAACAACAGACTGGGTTGTATTAATAAGAACATCACTTGAAAATTGAAGAAAGTGATTCTTCCACTCTGTTCAGCCCTGGTGAGGCCTTGCTTGGAATACTATGTCCAGTTTGGGGTCCCACACTTCAAGATGGATGTGGACAGTTTGAAGAGTCTGGAGCAGCAGGGCTGGGAGATGAGACTTATGAGGAAAAGCTGAAAGAACTAGTTTATTTAGTCTATTATTTAGTCTAGAGAAGACTGAGGCAGGCAATTATAGAGGCTGGAGATGGGCTTTTTCTCTATGGCTGTAGGGGGCAGGACTTGCAGCAATGGCCTCAAGCTATAGCAGGAGAAATTTATGTTGGAGATTAGGGGGAAATGTTCTGACTATAAGGGTGGCCAAGGATTGCAATAGGCTACCTAGAGAAATTGTGGGTTTCCATCTTTGTAAGTTTGCTAGAGCAGGTCAGACAGATATTTGGGTTGGGTGGTTTAGTCAGGGATTATTCTGCCTGGAGCAGGGAGCTGAACTAAATGACTTTCTGAGGACCCTTCCAGCTCTACTTTCCTATGATCCAGCAAGCCTATATTTTCTTGCTAAACATAGTATATTTACATTTTTGCTCCATCTTTTTTGCTTTCTCTTAATTTCTAGACATTCATAATAATTAAGTAAAAGGGAAATTCAAACACACCACCAGCTTAATGTATGCTAACTTAATGTATAAATAAGTAAACCCACATTTGTAATCCCAAAAAGTATTACCCACCTGAACTGATGAGTTGACGATGGGGTTAGGCCAGCAGTTTTGTTATATCTCTGTGGGTGGATCTACACGTGCACACCAATTATTGTGCAGTAGACTAATCTAATGTGTATTAAAGCATCACAGTCTATATGTGTGCATCAATTACTGTGCAGTAGATTAATGTAAAACGCTATTTGCTAGTACCGACAGATACAGGTACTAGTTAATGGTGCTTCACATTAGTGCACCTGAACGCATGTGTAGATGCTGACCCAGGAGCAAATTGTTCCCAGTCATCCCAGGTAGTAGGGGGGTCACAATTGCTGTTTGGCTTTGGGGGCAGCTCCAAGTGACATGGAGCTCGGGGCATAGCCCCATGCTCTGGGCACCTGGGGAAGGGGGGAAAGCGAGCTGGCCCTGGTTCAAAGCCACTTGGATCTGCCCCTGGAGCTGGGGACAGCTCCTGTCCCACTCCCCAGAGCTTGGGCCTAGCCCTGGTCTTCTTGCCACTTGCAGCTGCCTCCAGAGTCAGCTCCTGCCGTACCCACCAGGGCTCAGGGTACCCAGAGCTGGGGCCAGCTCACCTCCCTGACTCCACAGAGCCCAGCCAAGGCCTGACCCCCCATGCCCTCTGCCAGCCACAGTGATGTCTGTGCCTCTTGCCATCCCAAGACTGGCCCCTAGGCAGCTGTGGCTGAAGCCTGGGGCTCCCTCTGGCTGCTGCAGGGGGGCAGAGCAGGGCAGTAGCAGCCCTGGACTAGGCTGCTCCTGTCGGGCTCAGTTTGCTCCCGCCCTGCGTGTACATGTAGACATGCACCTGGGCACAGTTTAATGAGCCTGAATTTTCTGCGCAGAAAATTCATGTGCATTAATTGCATGTAGACAGAATCTGTTGTATCAAAGCTAATATATTGACAATCATATCATATTAAATGCTAAATCTAAAGTTAGAAAATAATGCTGTAGTTAGTAACAGCTAGTAATGTCCTTCTTGACCAAATAAAATGTAATGATGCAGTCTTCAGAAAGCTATAAACTACACAAAATAGGTGAAGCCAAGCAGTATGTCACACCATTTCATTATGCAGTAAGTTTTCAAGTATTATTAGAATCTTCTACAATGGCAGCTTTAAAAATATATGTATACCATATACCCAAAGCTAGCTTGTAGAAGCAATTTTGATAGAGCAATTTACTGTTGAAAGAAAGTTATCCCACAAATAATTCGAAAGTTGCAAAGGTAATGTTATTTCTAAGTGTCGTAACAAGTTCAGTCCCATAAGTATAATACTGTGTGTGATACCAGAAGAAAATGCCTTTGTTTTTAACGTATCGTAATTGCTTGGTATTTGACTAATAAGTTTTATGACTACATTGTGTTTTCTGTCCTTTACAAGTATTATACTTTTGTACCTCCAAATAGGACCTAAGCAAGATGTCAAAGCTGCCAGAGACTTCATTTTGAAGCTATATCAGGATCAGAATCCAGACAAAGAGAAAGTAATCTACTCCCATTTTACTTGTGCCACAGACACAGAGAATATACGCTTTGTCTTTGCAGCTGTCAAGGATACCATCCTACAGTTAAACCTGAGGGAGTTCAACCTAGTGTAAAGAAAAAAACACTGCTTAGGATCAAGAGAGTAATTTATCCAGATAGTGTAGCTCATTAAAAAACAAATTGTTTGCAGACTTTAACAATCGCTACAAAAGACCAAGTAATGCAGGTGCATAGATGGCTGTTGTCCTCTGAAATAGCGTACTTACAGAAATGGAGGCTTTTCTGTACATTTGTTGACGTTGAAATGTTTACGGAAACTAATGGATTAGTAGAACTTTAAGGAAAAAGGTCCAAATTTGATGGATTTTTTTAAAACTATATATTTTAAAAATTGTTTTAATTTCTCCTCTTGATTTTGGTTTTGAGATTTTTTTGGTGAAAACTATGGTTTTAAGGGTATTTAAGAAAAGATATTTGTAGAATTATATGTGTCTATTTCCCATCTACCTGGCATTTTTTTAGACTTTTTAAAATGCATTTGATAACCATTTACAAACATGGTATAGATTTTAATCAGAGATGCCTTTATAAATTATGATAAAATAATAGTTTTAGGATGCTAGATACTTTAAGATTCTTCTTAAGTTAGACTGAGCTATTAATATTTTTAATGAGTATAAAGCTATGTGGTAATGTAATACTTCAGCATTTTTATTAGAGGTATTTTTGCTAGGCTGACATGCCAAGCATGTTAAGACTGTCTTTGAAACGTTACAGAAGATTAATTATTGGTGTCCACGAGGCAATATTGCACATGAGTCAAAAGTTTAATTATGAAGCACGTTGATGACCTCTGCAAACATGACAGGGTAACCTCTGAACCCAGTGGATATCCCATGTAATTTACTTATCAGATCATCGTGGCTCACAAAGGGAATTATGGCTGCTTTTTCTTGAATTGGAGAACTTTTAGGTTCTACTATTATCTATCCCAGGACCCTCTATCACAGGAAAAATAGGGTGCTACTGAGGAACAGAGAGTGGTGTACTTCTTACCAGTACCTAAAGTGTTGCTCAATCTAGTACTCAGGTTTAACAGTTAGGTGCAGGGATGTTCCTTACCCACACATGACTACTTTTCAGAAGAACTTCATATAAGGAGATCATTCCCATCATATTATGCAGCCATGAGAGAATCACTTAAAGATTGCATCAAATATAGCTGTACCAATGCCTCACACTGTTTTAGGAATGTAGGGACTTCTTGGATAATTGATTTAATCCTCTACAGTATAACCCCTTCCACACACCACAGCCACAAAGCACCCTATAACAAAACCCTATGATCTTTAGTACCAAGTAACCCTATATAATGATTCAAAGGAAAAAAAGAGGACCCTCCACTAATGGAAGGGAATTAGTTAAGTAAAGTATGCCTTGATGACTAAGAATGGGACTGTGGCTCTAGGGATAGAAACCTGACTCAGAAAGTGCTAATTCAAATAACTAGCATGACTTTACTTTCACACCCAAGCCCATAGAATCTAGACTGAAGCACACCCTCAAAAAACAAATGCATCTCAAGATGCCTAGGATTTTGAAATCCTTTTGTCCCAATACAATACAGTCCTAACACGCAACCTGCCTTGAGCAGTAGGAACCCATGTCTTATCAAGAAACGGGTCCTCAATTTTCACCTCTGCCTCTAAATACTGCACACATTGTCAGTGAAGTCAAAAGACCCTATGCCACTAGAAAATGCCCACGTATGCAGACAACCCCATATCATGATCAGGATGTCTTTAAAATCTGTCATGGATATGCCATAAGCCCCATTGCTCATGTTCTACTCTTCCAAATACACATTTATACTATCATGCTGTCCCTTCTATAACCCTATGAAGCTGTCTTGTAACAACTCAGACTTCTTGTCCCCACTATTTTATTCACAATGGGCAGCTCCTCTCCTCTACTTGTTAGAAACCTTTGTCTAATTTTCCAATTTAAAAGGTATTCATTACTGGCTTGCACCCACTAGATTTTGTGTCAATATGGTTCTTTAAGTTAAACAGCTCTTCTCCCTCTCTGTTATTCACTATCTGAACATGTTTATAAAAAGCATGCCATCTCTTCCATTGGCTAAGCTAAGTAAGCTAAGCTTTTCTGAGCTCCTCTTATAAATTCTTACAGTCACCCTAATCTCCATGTGAGTGCTGAACGACCCAAATTCTAAGCCTTCCATTTTTTTAAAACAACATTTAGATATGCTATAATGTTGGGTATAAAAGCAAGTGATTTTTATGTATACAACATGCTTAAGTGGGAAGGTTATTAATGAGCTACCAGCTAGTTCAATTATAGGCGCGTCGAGGCAATTAAAAAAACCAATGCATAAAAATGTCATGTAATCAATACATGGTAAATGTATATATGTATTTCTATACATAAGCAGAACTGTTTTCTTGTAAAATTTTCCTGTGTTTAATATGACAAATAATTATTGTTATACCTGAAAAATGTAAAAACAGAAAACTTAAAGTTTTGGTTCAATATGAAAATGTCATTGTGTCTACAAATTTCAGTTCTTTTTGCAAAAAATCCTGTCTGCGTTTTTCTCACCCACACCTCCAGCAGTGGAAATGATTTTGGTTTTACTCCTATAAAATGTTTTTCCATAAAAGGAGCCTATATAAGGTAGATTTCCACTCCTCATTGATTAAAGTCAGAAAAAAACTGCACCACTCACTTTTTAGTCTCTGTACATAACGAGAGCAAGACAACTTATCCTGACCAGTTCTTATTAATACAATGTCAGTTTAAGCATAGGTAAGGTCTAAACAAGATTTTCATTTTCAGCAACAGGAGTATTTGGACGGGTCTCTCTCTCTCTTCCCCCCACTTACCGCAACGTGTGAACTACAAATCTGATTACACCATCCAGTATTAACAAGACCAATTTCCTGAATATGACTGGCCTTCATTCCGGTATAGGATGACCCAAGTTAATCCTTGATTGAAGTTAGAACCTGTTTTTGAGTGCAGGATGACCACATGCTGAATCCTCTAATGTCCACTATTAGTTGACCCCTAATAGTGCTCCTTCCCATGGGCCTCATCATGACTTTGTTTGGCTTCTGATTTAGTTCCCCACTTGATCATGATCTCATGTCCCATTTGAAGGCTGATCCTCACTCTAGGTTTAGGATGACTTCATGCTGATGGCATTAAATTCCACAGGAGTACCTCACTCTGGGCACAAAGTCTATGCTCTGAAGTACTTGCTCCCTCCCTTCTGGAATCCACCCTTCCCAGCCAAGAAGTACCCGTGTCCAATCCTTTCCATAACTATTTATGCTCCTCCAGGCCCCTCCTCTCCTGGCTGGGATGCTCCACAAGAGCCCCAAGCTCTCTCTCACACCAGTAGAGCAGGGAGCAAATGTTGGATGGTCTGAACTGTATGAACTATTTGACACCCTCTCCCTCCCCCCCAGATTAGTGCCCTTGTCTAGTCACGAACTCGTATGACTCCCAGATTGAAAACTGAGTCTCATCCTGGGTTTAAGATTACCGTATTTAACCCCTTAATGATGAAGGGCTTTCCACCTTGGGTCTGGTCATGACTGCCTTTGACCATCTGCTTCAGATTGAGCCTCATTCTGGGTGTAGGATGACCTCAATACCTGGAAAGATCATGGAGCAAGTCTTCAAGGAATCTATTGTGAAATACTTAGAGAACTGGTGGAAGGAAATGCAGCCAAAAGTACTGTAAGGTGCATACATAAATGGTTGGATCATCATGCTCAAATAGAAGTTGTCAGTGGCTTGGGAGGGCATATCAAACCAGGCTCCCCAGGGGGCTGTAAGCAATCCAGTATTATTCAACATCTTTATTAATGATTTGATCAATTGGACTAGTACACGTTTAGCAAATATGAGGATGACACCAAGTTGGGTGGAGTTGCAGATACTCCAGAGTAGGCCTGGGGTTTAGAATGGCATGGATAGGTTGGCGAAATTATGAGATTCAGCAAGGACAAGTGCAGAGTGTTGCACTTGGGGCAGAATAATTTAATGCACAAGTACAGACTGGAAAATGCATGGCTACGCTGCAGTCGTGCAGAGAAGGACCTGAGGGGGTTAGAGGAGATCATAAGTTGAATATGGCCAATAGCATGCTGTTGTTGGAAAAAAAAAAAGCCAAAGCATTTTGGGTTGTATAGACAGGAGTGTTAGTTGCAAATGAAAAGGAAGTGATTATTTCATTCTATTCAGCACTGGTGAGGCCTTGTCTGGGAGTAGTGTGTCCAGTTTTGGACTCCACATTTCAAGAAGGGTGTGGACAGTTTGGAAAGAATCTAGAGCAGAGCAACACAAATGATTAGGGGCTTGGGAGACCAGATTTACGAGGAAAGGCTGAAAGAACTACGGTTATTTAGCCTGGAGAAAAGGAGACTAAGGATTTGACTACAGTCTTGAAATATCTGAAGAATGATTATAGAGAGAATGGAGATGGACTATTCTCTGTGGTTGTAGGTGAAGGACTAGGAGCAATGGCTGCAAAGTGCAGCAGCAGAAGAAATTCAGGTTGAAGATTAGGAAGACTTTTCTGACTCTGGGGGTGGTCAAGCATTGGAACTGGCTATCTAGAGAAGATGTGGAATTTCCATCTTTGTAAGTTTGCTAGAGCAGGTCAGACAGATACTTGGCTGGAATGGTTTAGTCAAGGATGATCCTATCTTGAGCAGAGGGTTGTCTTTCCAGCCCTACTTTAGTAGTTTCTAAGTTAAGATAATAGAAAAGTGTCAAATCCATTTAAGAAAATGTAAAAATACTAAGAGGACAGCAAATGAAAGTGAAAGCATGAACTCTCCTGTTTATATATATATAGCATCTAGTCCAGGAAGGTATCATTTTTAGACAGGTTAATTCTTAAGATTACATTCAATCTACAGCACCAGAAGTACAAGGCATCAAACTGTACCTGAGCTAGTACATGTGATCACATTAGGCCCTTTAAGCTTCTTTTTCTTTTGTTGTTTTCTGTGCTTAGACAAGGAAATCATGGGATTTCCTTGAAGGATCCATTGGTTCAATTATAAGATTCTTGGGGGCCCTGGCAAGGTTTAATAGTCGTGAATCCAAATTCACCTCTTACATGGCAAGGCATGTACCAAAGGTGCAGAATTAAAACCAAATCCTTTGCCTATGGGAAAGGCCAGCACGTCATACTTCCTATGGAATGTTGAAAACGGAAATTCTCAGAGCGGTCTTACGATCTACGAAGTTGCATAGTGTTTGCCAACGTTATTCTCTTGTGCAAACCAATGCTGTTTCTTTAGCTCTGGATCTGGAATGGAGGTAGGTGGAAAAAGCTGGGGTTCGAACCATTTGAAAAGCAAATTAAATTTTTGTTGAGCCCCCCCATTTTATTAAAATGATAAATTTCCCTTTCCTTAAGTTGAGGATGTTTCAAGGAAGGCTAAAATGCTCAAGAGAAAGATGTTTTATGGAAAAATACTGCTCTCCATCTGGTAGAGTTGTTTTTTCAGTGTTAGAAGTGATTTTTCTTTAATGACTCTTCCAGCAGCCTCAATGCTATTAAATTTTATAGGACTTTACAGTAAAGGTTTGTTTGCTTTTCTTCTATGAGACTTGCTCCATAAAGGTTAGAATAGTATTAAGGCATATTAAGCCAAAGGATCTGATTACCAATTGCTTTGCACCTCCTGTTGTTGTCTACACCAGCATTGATGTAACTAGAGTGGGATATATGGGGCAACTACTCTGCCAACATATTGTGGGGAAAGGGGTGTATACAAAGGTGTGACACACAGCAGCTGCATGACCACAGTTGCAATGGCACTGGAAATTGCTGCTGTCCCTGTGCCCTGGGTGCCCAGCCACCTCCCTACATTGGAAACAAAATAGTCTAGACTAAATGCCAGGAAAACCTTCTTCATTGTTAGAACAGTTTGGCAGTGGCACAGTCTTCTGAAAGAAGTCGTGAAACCTCCTTCACTGAAGATTGTCAAAAAGAGGTTGGATAAGTATGGGTTAGGAATGCTCTAGGAGTACTAATACCTAGTGTTCCTGGGCTGCACAGCATAATCCACCACTCATGGATTGCTGGAAGATCATGAGAGTACCTCTGCAGCCCAGAACAGGTAGATATGGGACAGAACAATGCTCAGTAGCAGAAAAATGAAGTAGACGTCCACAGCCTGCTTAGTTACAACGCCCCCCCCAACCAAAACAAAACAAAAAAACCCGAACAAGAGGAGACAGGACAACAGCCAGAAAGGGGGTGTAATGTATGGAGTCTTCAGGGTCCTGATCCTTTCTGCCCCAATAGTGCTTGCCTGGGGAGACTGGAAAGTACAAAACATCACAAATGGATACTACCTGTTGCTGTGGGCACAAATTTGTGCATTTATGGCACAACACAGGACATGGATGTCTGCTTACTTTTGTTTTGTATGGTCATAAACATTGTTATGGTGGTACAAAGGCAATGTCTGTTTGCAGCCTTCCTTGTTAAACAGTAGGGGAAACATTGCCAAATAGACCTTGTTTTTCACTCCAGACTATCATATTGCAAACATGCAAGTCAGATCTGATCAAATTTCTCACTAAATCCAGGTTCTTCGGCAAAACTATAAAGGAAGCTTTGTGGACTACTTGCGTGCAATGGGCACGGTAGAATTTATCTGATGTAGCCTTTGGTTTACTGAGAATCACACTGCATGGAAACATTTTAATCCATTGTTAACTCTCATCCCTTCCTTCATATTAGATAATTAAATCAAGATGTTTTAAAAATGTTCCCTGGAAACCAGTGATTCTTATGAAGGCAGACAAAAAACCCTGTGAAACTGGGGTGTCAAATTCACCCGGGATGGATCCAGATGCATTTGGGCAGCAGCATTTGGGTTCACCCCTGTGTTTGTGCATGGAGCTGTTTGTGCAGAAACCGTGAGGAGCCAGCCTCCGGTCCTCCATACTCCTGCCTAGGTGAACATGTCAAAGGTCTGAGTGATCTCTCACAAATACACCATGATTCAGAAGGATTGACAGTTGCCTACTACGCATTGAGAGTTACCGTTTGCTTTGTATGAGGATTTGGCATCTTTTGTCATTTTAGTTCCCACATACTTTAAACCAGTTTATTCTGCTTTAAATGGGATTATACTCTCTAGAGACCTCTCATCTGCATTAGCAAAAAATCAATGCAGAGGATTTATAATAATGCATTTTATATCCTGACAGGTTGCAATAGGCTTCAACTGTTCTTACGTCAGGCACTGAGCTGCTTAGCTGAGAATTTATAGAAGCAAACCATATGCATATAATTTAGCCTTACACTCCTTTCTTGCCAACATACCTACCTTGCTATCGTTGGTTTTTCTGATACCTTGAGATACTGGTTTAATTGTGTGATATATCATATACCACTGTTAAACAACAGCAGAGAGATGGGACAACCCAACCCTGTCCTATAACTCTCAAACTGAAAGGGATCTGTGACATTACTGATATGAATCTGTGATATACCTTCTTCATAAACTGCAGCAAACCAAGTAACAAAATTCCTTAACAAAACCCCATTTTATAAAAAGCCTCAAATACAAAAAGGCCATTT